CCCTAAACCCTAAACCTTAGAAACCGAAACTCAAACCAGCCCTACGTTCAGTCCCTTGCGCACTTGAACTGGACCTTGAAGCCTCATGTAGGGGCATGACTAATGTTAGTTGGGTTTGGGGGGGTATGTTATACTACGTATGGTTATTAAAGGGAACTCCGCAAAATGGTATTGATAATAATTTATAGGCCCTTATATTAACGCTCCGGAACCTCACCACGCTCCGGCCGCCTATCCCTTGAAGCCTTAACCCCCCCAAACCGAGAATTCCCAACGTGTCGCTCCAGGTCTGAACGCTTTGGGCTTCTGCAGTGCGCACGTTTTACGGTTTAGGGTTTATGGTACATATCATATGGGTGTTTCCGAAACTTAGGGAACCCTATTTTGGGGTCCTTATAATAAGGATCTTACTATTTAGGGTACTATATTAGGGTCCCCTATTATCGGAAACCCCCACATATCATGTGGCTGACATGAAAGTTTAAGGCTTTGTAACTCGCGAAGGGTTGCAATGGACGCCAAGATCTTGTGAGTGTGCGGGTGCACGTATGCATGTGCATGAGTTCTGTGTGTATAAATAAATAAACAAATAAATAAATAAATAAATAAATATATGTATATATATATATATATATAAAGAGGCAGAGAGGGTGAGAGAGAGACAGAGATGTACACGTGGACTCATTCTTGCAATAAATTAGGTGGTCAGCTCAGCACATCATTCGGTTACTCCGCTGTGTTTGGGAAAATGCACTCATTTGTTTGTCTGCCGATATCTTAAAGTTCTTATACCCTGAACCCTAACCCCTAAACCCTAAACCCTAAACCCGAGGATGTTTTACTGGAAGGGGCGGAGCGCTGTTTTCTGAAGGAACGACCGTCCGAAACCGTGTCTGTACCTAGACCCTCCATCTACCCTCTATTAGACCCTAAATACCCTTAATTTGGGACCATATACCCCTATTTGAAGGTACTTGGAGGGTCTTGGTAACTTCAACTAGAAACTTCCCCAAGAATAAGCACATGGGTAGTTGTCAAAATTAGGGTCCCTTTTGGGGTACCCTAAATAATAGGTGCCGTATTATAATAAGGACCCAAAAAGGGACCATAATTTTGACAACCACCCACATGCATAAACATCCAAAATGCACACCTGCGCTAAATTAGCACGAATAGCCGTGACATGAAAAAACTCGCTCTGGCGATGTGCTCGGAAGTGCAATCCATAAGACCAATACAACATGAATGCCGGCGCTTGAGTCCGCATCTATACCCTGAGCCCCGTAAGTTCGCCGAAGCCACCTGTAGGCAGTAGACTACCTGGGGCATGCGCAGTTGCAGCACGACAGTTTGCTTGCACAAACGACATCCGGGCCCAAACGCCACTCGCACAACGGGTTTTCGAGCCCCCTTGAAGGTTTGGGTCAGGGCACGTGGTAACTACCGTCGTGAGAGCCATGACTAAGGTAGCTTCCGTTGTAACTACTTGTGCCCCTGCAAGCAGGCACTTATAGCTCTACTACCACCCATGAACTTTCCAGTCGTGCCCCTACTGCCCAAGAACCAAGACGAATCAAGACATCAACCTGAAACCACAAACCCTGAACCGAACCAACTAAACCAAACCCTGAACCCTAAACCAAGAGGTTAACCCATGCTGATGGGTGCCCTTCATTCCTAAACCAGCAGCTCACGAGACACAGGGCTAGTTGAATCCATGATAGTGGCCTTAGCAACTAGAGAAGGGTGTTGGGGTACATTCTACTAAAAAGTCACGGAATGCTTTTGACGTGCTCCCTCAACCCGGACCGATAGAACCCTAAACCCTTAAATAAACCCTGACGCGGTAACGGCAACGTAAGTATATGAGAGCTAGCCACGGGCTTCTCGCAGTTCACAACCGCCCAAACCCTGTGGCTTTGTGCCATATATTGTTTTGGGGGAGCCCGAAGGTATAGCAAAGCTATTCAATGGCCTCTACTATAGGGGCCTTGATAATTAGAATAGGGTTTTGGGGCCCATTATACTATAACTGGTAGTTATTCAGGCCCCTACAGTACAAGCACTACTGCCTCCCAGAACTCAAGCATTCCTAACATAAAACTGAACTGTTAAACCAGCTGCGTGTCACATGCATAGAAAAGCCACCTCATTACAATCCCAGTGACTCAGAACAAGCAATCCTGGGGTATTGCCCCAATACAGTAACAGTCTATACCTATAGTCTCCATTGTAGTTCCTGTTTGGGGATACCTTGTAAAATGCCTAATATATAATTGGTTAAACCAAGAAAAGGAACTACAATGGAGACTATATGTAGTAGGGCTACTATTAAGGGCCCTATATATCTCTATTATAAATATTATCCAACTGTTACTGAGTGGGGGCAGTATCCAAAGCAATCCCAACAACGCGATGCAACTTTGGAGGATGAAGAGTCGTGGTACTGGATACTTGGAGGGTCATGGGACTTAGTAAGTAAGGTTATAAGTATCTTAGATGAGGTTATAGGTCGTTATAAGCATAGTTACCTTGTTTATAACCGTAGTTACTAAGTCCCATGATCCTTCAAGTAAGCTGTCAACAGCAGTTCACCAAAAACAAGGAGGCGGTCCTCCGCGCGTGATTCGCAACCTTCACTAAAGCTTTTGACCGCTAGCAATCTGGCTCAGAAAGCTTGGAGGAGTGAGACCACTTGCAACCGATCTGAACTGGGAGTTTCCGAAAATAAGGGGTACTCTATTTTGGGGGTCCTTATAATAAGGATCCTACTATTCAGGGTACTATATTAGGGTCCCCTATTTTCTGAAACCCCCAACTGGCTACAGCGGGGGCTGTTACGGTCACGGCCTTGACTGTCCTAGCAGCAGACGCACAATCTCAACGTGCCCGTCGCCAGCGGCTACCGAAAGAGCGGTCAGGCCATCATCTCCAAAAACTGTGTCTTGATCAGCACGAGCACCTAACAGCAAAGTCACAATGCCCACGTGCCCAAACCTCGATGCCCAAAAAAGAAGCGTCGTGCAAGGAAGTCTGGTTCTCTCCTTGGGCATTGCATGACGGCAGTCGTCAAGCGTAGACCCCATGGCCTGCACGAGCAATCTTACCATTTCCGCATGGCCTCTCGAGGATGCAGCGACAAGGGCTGGAGCAAGATGCATCCGCTGATCTTGTTCTGCGTGCGCAGCTCCGCGAGCTGGTGAGGCATCACCAGCGAAGCCGCTTTCCAGCAAGAGGCGCGCAACTTCAAGGTGTCCACCTTGAGATGCTGCCACCAGAGGCCGGGCATCATGCTCCACACAATCAGGGTTTTGAGGAACTTGGGCAGGTATGATGGACGCTGGGTCGGCAGCTGCCTCCAGCAATATCTGCACAATCCCCATGCTGTTTGCACCTGGGCCCTGCGCCTCACTATGTCCTTGGATGGCCGCAAGAAGGGGGGTTACAGCTGTCCCCCAAAAGCCGGAGACTACCTCAGTCAGAGCACCGGCTTCCACCAAAAGGCTGACAACCTTACTTCCCCAAGAAGCCAGGGAAATAAAAGCTTCAATTTTTCAGATTACTAGTAAGTTAAAAAAAAACACAAAAAGTTTAAAGGTTGGGTCATGGGGAACTAAGCAACTTCAATATGGCCGCTGCCGGCAGCTAAAACAAGACTTGGACCCTCGTAGCCCCTGCCGACTCCATAGCCATCTGGGTTGGCAGAAGCCTCCAACAGCATACGCACAACTTCAACGTAGCCCTCATCTGATGCTGCTGCGAGAGCTGTTTGGCTGTAATAATCTGGCCTTCCAAATGGATAACCGCGGAGATCAGCGACTACCCTGTTCGGGTCTTGTGGGCGCCTCAGAATCTCCTCAACAGATGCAACGTTGCCATCACCAGCGGCGCTGATGAGCTCGAGCGCCTGCTCATCCGAAGCTTCGGAAAACGGCAGCACGACCATCTGCAAACCGTCCGGCAAGTCCGCACAATCATCATGTAAATCACGACCATCGTGTAGAAGTCTCAGTCTGAACCGCGACAGGGCAAAGATGCTTCGCAAATGTTGCTTCACGGTCCGTACATCGCCCAAGCCTTCCTTTTCAATAACCACCTCTTCCCCCGACACGGTCCAGATATGCAACATCTTGGCTCAGTCTGGCCAATCTACGTGGCGAGGAATATCCAACTTGATATCAGAGGACTTGCGCAAGCAATTCCAGCTGTACAAACTCTTAGTTCATGCCTTGAGGAATAGTCTTAGGGCCCCAAAAAAACACATAAGCAAAATTTAGGATGGGGATGTCCCATATAAATCCCCTTATAATTAAAGCCCAATAAGGTAGGGATATCCCTATCGAGTGCTTATGCTTATGTCCTTTTGGGGTTCCTAAAGTCAAGAGCACTACATATGTCAACTCATGGATCGGACTCTGCTGTTGACTGCGAAATCTATCAGCTATTTGTGAACCACGGATTCGCAGCTACGGCGAAAGTGGGAATGTACAGACGATCATCGTGGATTGTAGGATTGTGCCGTGGGATACTTGGCCAAAAGGCTGGTACAAGAGTCGGGCTTGCAAGCCGAACTTTGGACTGAGCATTTCGCTTGAGGAGAGCGGCCGCAACTAGAAGACAGCCCCAAGGGCAAGGAAGTTTTTGAAATCGCCGAAACCTATAGGTTTACATAGGGTTCATGATCGGCCCGATATCCAGAAATTGACAAAAGCCCGAGTTGTGTGACCCCAGTTGCAACAGAAGCACCTACTCACATTGTCTTTTACTCTCTCAGCTGTAAACCTCGAAGCCCTCAACCTGAAAACTCCGAAAAGAGAGCAAGATTGCACCGAACAGGTACTCATCTTCACCAACAACGATCATGCCAACAAGTACGACATGTGGGTGCGCGGTTTACATAGTTTCGAGAGGCAGGTATAGTAGAGTCATGTATAGTAGCTATAGCCTTGACATGCACTCGCACATGACATGCACAGCCACGGCAGCAATGATTCTCATTGGCTGAAGATGCGACAACCCTCAATCCTAAACTCACAAAAAGCAAGACTTCAATCGGCTCGGATTTCAGGCGAAAGACATCTCCGGCGTTGAACTTCTTCCTCCACTCCTCGGAAAACCAGCGCCTAAGCAGGCATCGGGTTGAGGGTTGAGATGTTGATGGTTTTAGGTTTGCGGTTGAGGGGGTCTTGCAGTTGACTGTTGATTGAAACTTAGAGTAAACAAAAGCGGATTTGGATTGAGGCTGCAAGGGCTTTGGAGTTGCGGATTTGTGTAGTTTTTGTACATTGGTTAGGGCGCCAGATACCTTGACTGAGCTGCCCAGTACCCTGGCCCAAAGAAGTTTAAACTGATTGAAACTTTACGAAGCACCGCCCCAGGTTACCGCCTTGACCACTTCAAGTTCAGCTCCCGACCAGCTATGGCAACGAAAAAAAGGATCTTAATAATCCTAGTTCATGGTTGGGGTAGTATTAAACATTTAAATTTATATTCCTTATTGGGTTTAAGTACCATTTAAAATGTAAAATGTTACCCAACTATGACAAAGGAAAGGGCTGTAGGGCATCTATAGACCGTTTCAACCTCAGAATTAGAGAATTCTGGTGAGATTACTTCTACGATTGTGCAATTACAGCGGCCTGAACTCCAGTGGTCTTATAAGATGTCCTTTATACTCATCATCCTGTTCAGGGATCTATATTGTTGTGCCTCATGTTCTCAAACTTCAATGTCGGGCGTCCTTCCTGATTTACGGTTCCTCGTGCCTTCCCAGGAGCCGAGCTTTCAAAAGGCAGCGGAGCGGAGCTCTCTTCCAGTCCTATCAGCACTATCAGCACTCTGCAAAAACTGTAAAATATACCCTACCCGCCCCCTTTTACAACCATAAACTTAGCTGGCCCAGTACCCTGGCCCAAACAACTTTCAACAATTCTTTTCGTAAGGTTTAATATACCAAAAAGTTTAAAGTTTACCTATTGGGCTCCTAAGAATTTACCCTACCCCCTTTACCCCCTTTACAACCATAAACGCCACAAGCCCTAGCAACATATTTGTCCCAAAACCCAAGAACCTGTGCTCCAAACTCTATCACCCCGTCATAAACCGTGCATAGAAGCACTTTGGAAAATTCGCCGACAGCCTGCGCATTATGACGGGCTGCAGAAACTAAGGGAACCCTAAACCCTAAACCCCAACTAAGGGGACCCCAATCGCCCAAAGTGTCCGGACTCCTACGTTCCATGCTGGGGAATTCCCCAAAAGCCCTGCAGAATATCGCAACAGCCTTTAAAGCCTGTATCGAACCTGAATAGACCAGATACCACCACAATTATAGAAGCCGGAATGATTACTAAGATTTGTGCATAGCAGCATTCCTTAACATATGTATACTAACTCCTGAACCAACCACTCCGCTATTCCTGCGTTCTGGTATATTTTACCCTAAACCCTAAACCCCTCAACCCTAAATCTGAAACCCTAAATCTTAAACCCTATAAACCCTAAACCTTAAACCCTAAACCCTAAACCCCTACACCCTACACCCCTAAACCCCGAACTTTAAAGAACTTACAATGAAGCCAAAGGTCGGCTGTAGGGGACTTCTTCAGCGGAATGTTGGGTTTAGGGTTTCGGGTTTAGGGGAACTTCTTCAGGGGAATTTTGAGTTTAGGGTTCAGGGTTTAGGGGACTTCTTCAGGGGAATGTTGAAATTGACCAATCCCATAAAGCGCCGCACAAAACACCCGCGAACAGGAGGCCCAATACAAGGCAGATACTGTGTAAACACTTATGTAAAGGCCAAACGGCTATTGAACCTTTTGAAAGACGGTTTCATAGAGTTTAAACATCAAACTAATCCCTAAAGCCTAAACCCCAGACCCTATACCCTAAACCCTGAACCCTAAACCCTAAACCCTGAACCCTGAACCCTAAACCCTACTGGGAGCTGGAAATAGGACCGAGGCTGCGGCTGGCTGTGGAGGACGGCTCCCTCTTCGATATGGTGCCCAGCTGCTGGAGCCTCCTCGGCCTCAGGGTTTAGGGTTTAGGGTTTAGGGTTTAGGGTTCAGGGTCTAGGGTTTAGGGTTTAGGGTTTTCAGGGTTTCTCTCGGAAAGGTTGTCCCCGAAGCAAGATTGCGATGTGTCTTTCGAGCGATATCAGGCCCTAAGCATCTCCAAGAGCCCCAAACAAGGCTTATCCATTATGGTTTAGGGTTTAGGATTTAGGGTATAGGGTTTAGGGTTTAGGGCTTCGGGTTTTGGGGTGCGGGTTTAGGGGTTGAGGGGCTTAGGGTTTAGGGCTTAGGGTGGTCTTTATAGGGCATAAAACCTTAGCCAAACCCCAAAACAGAACCCGAAACCCAAACCCCTAAGATCCTCAACACTTCAAGGTGTTCGGTCTTGCGGTGATTCAATCACGTGACGGGGTGGTTTGGTCAAGAGATGTGCTCGCGATTGCTCATGATGCTCGTCTTGGGTTGCTTAGGGTTTAGGGTTTAAAGTTCAGGGTTCAGGGTTTAGGGTTCAGGCCTAAACCCTAAACCCTAAACCCTAAACCCTATTTCGTGAGGCTGACGCTCATGACTCTCAGCGCAAACAGGCTTCGGCTTGGTGCCTCGGGCGGTAACTGCAGCAGGTGGTGCTCGTGATGCTCTATACTTAAAGGATCATGGGACTTCGTAAGTATGGTTATAAGTCCCTTAATTGGGGTTATAAGTAAATATAACTATAGGTACCTTAACTATAACCCTACTTGCTAAGTCCCATGATCCTTTAAGTATATGGGGGGTGTCCGAAAATAGGGGACCCTAATATAGGACCCCAAATAGTAGGATCCTTACTATAAGGACCCACAAAATAAGGTACTCTAATTTTCGGAAACTCCCCTAAACCCTAAACCCCGAACCCTAAACCCCAAGTATATGGCCGGTCTTTTGGGGAGAAAGTGCCCCCCAGTGATCTTCCATCATGCTGGGCCTGGTTGGTGCTTCGGGTGTGACTGCCATGACTGATGCTTTAGGGTTTAGGGTTTAGGGTTGTTTTGATTATTCAGGGTTTAGGGTTTAGGGTTTAGGGTTCAGGGTTCAGGGTTCAGGGTTTAGGGTTTAGGGTTTAAAGTTCAGGGTTCAGGGTTCAGGGTTCAGGGTTTAGGGTTTAGGGTTCAGTCATGATCCTGAACTTAGGATGTGCTCTGGGTGGTAACCGCCGCAGCTGATCCTCGGACGGTGCTTTGGAAGGTGCCCCGCGGAATGCAAGGAGAACTCGGCTTCAGAGTAATTCTTTAGGGTTTAGGGTTTAGGGTTCGACTCAGAATGCGGTTTTAGGGCTTAGGGCTACAGTTAAGACTCAACTAGACATGCCGTGACTAACATGGTAACCACCAGTTAGAGTACTGACCTTATATGTTTTAATAAGTACAGCTAGATCAGGAATAGCCATGCATCCAATCTCCAGGCAAGGCGATCAAGGATGCCATCAAAGAGGGTCAGAGTCTCATAAGCTGGGGCTTGGGCCGAACAGCATTGCCTCGGCCGAGGGGAATCTCCAGTGCAGGGAGGCGTGCCGAAGAGCGGCTCTTGCATGCTGCTCAAGGCAGGGTTGTCTTCCGGACACTCACGGCGCCGCGCTTGCAAAACATGTAATGTGGTCTCCCTGAACTCGTCCGCTGTAGCCGATATCGTAGTTGCACTTCGGAATTCTGATAAGCAGCCGCTCGAATGAGGATTGCAAGCGCTCTTCGCTCGCTGAGCTGAGGCCTGCAGCCGCTGCATTTGGCTGGCGACTGTTGGAGGTGCTTGGCCTCAAACAGACATCAGCCATCTCTTGGGCGCATTCTTGATACCTGATATCATTACAGGCATCCAACTCCGCCTGCTCGGGTCAATCTTAGTTCTGGGTTAGAAGTCATTATAAGTACATTTAGACTTGCGCCCCTAAACCCTGAACCCGAGCATCCTCCCTTCATAAATCCTAAGCCCTAAACCCTGGGCAAGAGTTAGGGTTTGGGGTTTAGGGGTTTAGGGGTTTGGGGTTTAGGGTTTAGGCTTCAGGGTTTTGGGGTTTAGGGTTTAGGGTTAAACCCCAGCGAAAACCTCCAGAAGTTTCTCATACTTTCAAAAGTTGTGGTTTGGGACTTGGGGATGGCATTGGGGCCCGCATAGGCAGGTTTCAGGGTTTAAGGTTTGGCTCGTGTCGGCTCGAAATCTTTCAGTATTTGTGAAGGGGATGCTCATGAAGGTCGGTTGAGTTCTGGTGGGTTGATGCATGTGACTTTGAGTAGGATTCGGAGTGGTAGAAATACTAGTAATGACACGACGTCTGCTTCAAAACATACAAATAGTAGTACTTTAAGTATTAATAAGAATAGCCATACAAGCCTAGTGATAGTATACATAATTCAGTGGTAGAAGCCAACCAGACGCGAAAAGCCCGCCGTGGGGTCTAGGCACTAAGCCGCCTTCCCTGAAACCCTGAGAGACCGGACCCCCGAACCGTAGAACCCCAGACGACGAACCACGGGAATACTAGACCCTAAACCTGAATACTAAACCCGAAGTACGCAACTTAGCCCTAAACCCTGACCTGCACCGTGCAACTCACGGACAGCAGCGCCCACAAAACTCTGCCAACCTCGAGTCGCATCTCGCAGCGCGATTTCGTTACTTTAAAGGCTTCCGGCTTTCATTCACTAAGGATTCCTTCGAAGTTCCCATGAAGCGCTCCTGTGCGGTGCTATAGGGATTTACGGTTTGTGCTGGGGCTTACGGGGAGATATCGGGTATAGTGAATACTTTGGCATTTAAGGAATCTCTATGCAGGAGACGCTCTCTGATCCATCTTTTTGTATTAAGGACATGCGGCTTTGTGGCCTCATTACATGGGTTGAGGCTTAGGGATTTCTGGTCGTAGGTTGGGCTTACGTACTGATGTTTCAAGTCAGGCTTCCCATCGCAGCACCCCTAAACCGCAAACCCCAATTCTACCCCCAAACCCTCAAAACCCTGTACCCTGAACCCTAAACCCTAAACTCTAAACCCTAAACCAAAACCTTAACCCCGTTGACCCCAAAATCATCTAAACTAAAGCCTCTCCGCTGCTCTTGAAGCCTACCTGACCCAAGGCGGCGAAAGATGAAGAATAGTCGTGCATGTGGGGGATTCCGACAATAGGGGACCCAAATATAGCACCCTAAATAGTAGGATCCTTATTAGAAGGACCCCAAAATAAGGTACCCCTGATTTTCGGAGACCCTAAACCCTAAACCCTGAACCCTAAACCCTGAACCCCCTAAATCCTTAATATAAGGACCCCAAAATAAGGTACCCCTTACTTTCGGAAACTCCCATGTCCGTCCTGCCCGAAGCTCTGCTCTTCACAAGCCGCAATCATGAGCACCAAAAGATGCCAACGTCAGTGACAATGAAGTTTTAAGGCTTAGGGTGTAGGGCTTAGGGGTTCCAACCTAAGCTGGTCAAAGCCAGTGACCATGAAGCTTGAAGCCTAATTCGAGTCAAAGACCAGATCTGAACCCAAAACCCTGAAGCCCTGAACCCTAAGCTCTAAACTCCCTAAACCCTAAACCCTACATCCCCAAACTCCCAAAGGCCCTAAACCAGAAGCCCTCCGGACGAAATCCGAACCCTGAACCCTGAACCCTAAATCCGAAACCCTAAACCCCTAAACCCTAAACCCTAAAAGCCCTAAGCCCTAAGCCCTAAACCCTAAATCCGAAACCCCAACCCCTCGTCCCCACCGGCTGGCCTTCATGGCTGGATCTTTATCCCGCGCTCACGAGCAGAATAGAAAGCAAGGCGAAAGGCTCCTATAGACCCTAAAGGATCTACAAAAAGGATCTACAAAAAATACATAATTTGAGTCTCATCTATTTTTTCATATTGGCTAATGAATTTTAGTTAAACATATATTGAGGCATAGGCTTCGGGGGGAAAGGCCCAAGATCCACTCGAAACTAAGCCCTGAAGCACGTGGCAAGCTAGAGCCTGGGTCCAGCATAGTGAAGTCATCGCCACGTCTGCGCTAAGGCATTGAGAACTGTCGAGCCGATCCGGCAGGGTTTAGGGTTTAGGG